GATTACCCCATGTAATGTGGGAGTTTGATACACATACAACAGATATTGAGGGAGTATAGCTTTACTGAATAATCTATCCTTCTCTTTTGAGTTGTTCTGACTCTAAAGCGTCACCCTGCCTTTCTCCCATCCATCCCAAATCAATGAGTTCTGCGTATAGGTTGAGATCTGAGCTTGAAGAAAAACAAAGGGGATGATAGAATAAGAATATACTTTCTTAAAAAAAAGAGGGTGAGAAATCATATTCTATAGAACAAACAGTAGACACGCATATATAAATATAAAAATGCTGGAGGATTTATTTTCGAGCACATCTCCTCCTTATGCTTTATATGTCCTCCCTCTTTATTTACGCTCATCTTTTTTGTGAAATCCACAGTAATTTCTCCGGGGATTCCTGTGAGCCCTCTGCTCTAATGCCCATCTGGAACAACAGGCATTAATAACTTGCCCTGGGACTGAGTAATGGTACTGAACACACCACTAAGATGAATGGAGGGTCTTCTGGGTCTCTCATTAGTAAGCAGAGGTTTCCTGGGTACAACAGTAAAGTAGGAAGTGTGTGTAAAGAAAATAAAGATATTGAATGTTTGGAGAGGAGGGGGGAAAAGTTCAGCAGTGTTTTGAATTTCTAACCGGCTGTTCTTCCCTTAGTTAGTTCCAGTTTTATTGCGTAATAAAGTAGTATTGGCCCGAAGACCTTTTTCAGCATAAGGACTCCAGCCGTATCATTATAAACAAATGAGTGTGTGATGTGTGGGGCGGCTGTGGCTCAGTGGATAGAGTGCTAGACTTCTAATCAGGGGGTAGCAAGTTTGAGTCCCACTGCAGTGAGCATGTCGTTGTGTCCCTGGGCAAGACACTTCACCCCAAATTGCTCCTGTGGGGATTGTCCACAGTATTGAGTATGTAAGTCGCTTTGGATAAAAGCGTCTAACAAGTAACATGTAATGTGCTCATTAAGGTCGGAATCAATGCATGAACTATGAACCATAGTGTTGTTTTAATATGAATTAATGGATGTGTCTGATGATCAATACGGTAAACACCTGCAAGGTCTGAGCTCTTTCTCTCACGGGGCTCATGGCCTCACAATGGTGGAACGTCGATGATCACAAACACAAACAGCATCATTGATTCACATTGATCCGTCACACGGGGAATGAGAGGACAACTATCAATCAATCAATCAATGTTTATTTATATAGCCCAATATCACAAATGTTACATTTGTCTCAGTGGACTTCACAGTTTATACAGAATATCAGTATGACAATACGACACCCTCTGTCCTTAGACCCTCACATCGTACAAGGAAAAACTTCCAGAGAAAACCCACAGTTTAAAGGGAAAAATGGGAGAAACCTCAGGGAGAGCAACAGAGGAGGGATCCCTCTCCCAGGACGGACAGACGTGCAATAGATGCCGTGTGTAAATTGAAAAGATAATACATTTGCAACATAGGTAGTCCAAATGTTTGGAAATGCATGTGTGTATAATAGGAAGATGAATCCACGAGGATATCCATCCAGGACATATGATCCAGGACCACAGCCATGACTCAAGATCCAGGGCTCGCGATCCAGGACACAGGACCATCCATCACTCCGGATCCCGGCGTATATAGACACAAAAAGAAAGACATTTGGGGAAGCTGGGTTAATCGGAACATGAGAGTTCACAGGTATAGACAGAGAGAAGGAAGAAGTAAGATGTCCCCCGACAAACTAAGCCTATATCAGCAAAACTAGGGGCTGAATCTAATCAGCCCTAACTATAAGCTTTATCAAAAAGGAAGGTCTTAAGCGCACTCTTAAAAACGGATAGGGTGTCTGCCGCCCGAACACAAACTGGAAGATGATTCCACAAATGTGGAGCTTGATAAGAAAAGGCTCTGGCTCCCATTGTACTTTTAGAGACTCTAGGAACAACCAACAACCCTGCATTCTTCGAACGCAATGCCCTAGTAGGACAGTAGGGTATAATGAGTTCTTTAAGGTAAGATGGCGCCTGCCCATTAAGGGCTTTGTAGGCGAGAAGAAGAATTTTAAATGCTATCCTGTGTTCTATAGGGAGCCAGTGTAAGGCAGCCAGAACAGGAGTAATGTGGTCCCTTTTCCTAACTCTGGTTAGTACACGAGCTGCAGCATTTTGAATCAGCTGAAGCGACTTGACTGACTTCTTGGTACACCCTGATAATAAAGAGTTACAATAATCCAGCCTTGAAGTAACAAATGCATGGACTAGTTTCTCTGCATCGTTTTGAGGCAAGATATGCCTGATTTTTGCAATGTTACGTAGATGGAAGTAGGCGGTCCTTGAAATTGATTTTATGTGGGCGTTAAAGGATAAATCCTGATCAAATATAACACCAAGATTCCTTACAGTCTCACTGAAGGCCAAATTAATGCCATCCATAGTTAGTATATCTTTAGATAATTTGTTTCGTAGATTCTTCGGGCCAAGTACAATAACTTCAGTTTTGGTAGTGTTTAACATAAAAAAATGTAAGGTCATCCACGTTTTTAAGTCCTTGAGGCAGTCTTGAATTTTATTTAGATGATTAATTTCATCAGGCTTGATTGATAAATATAGTTGAGTATCATCCGCATAACAATGAACATTTACAGAATGATTCCTTATAATATTGCCTAACGGAAGCATATATAATGTGAACAAAATAGGTCCGAGCACTGAGCCCTGTGGCACTCCATGGCTAACTTTGGTTTTGCGTGGAAGATTCATCATTGACACGTACAAACTGAGACCAGCCTAAAGCAGTTCCCTGTATGCCAACTAAGTGCTCTAGTCTTTGCAATAAGATATCATGATCGATAGTATCAAATGCAGCACTGAGATCACTGAGATCACTAATCATAAAGTTACTCACTGTTAAATGTTCACTGCACATGTACACGTTTAGGGTTGCCCTTTACAATGTTTTCTATTACTTTTTAATCCGCCAATTATTCATTTGTCAAAAAATGTTGATCATATGTTCCTGCTTTCATTTAACAAATCCCACTGACAAGAGGGGACCATTAGCAGGTTGGTCTATTTGGATCAGAGTGGGATATAAATCAGCTGTTGGGTGGATTGCATAGACTGCCAAAAACATTAACTCAACATCACATGACAAGCGGTAAAATGGAACTGTAATGTGTTTCAATGGAGAGAGCGCCGCTACCCACGGTGTTGCACAATGCTGGAAATTGTCACCAAGCGCTAACTTTGACCAATCAATCAGAGGCCAGCAGTATGAAGCAAGGCTAGCTAGCATGGGAGGTAACAAGAGAAACGTAATTTAACTAGCTTGTTCACCATTAATGTCTAAGAGAACATTTTCATAGCAAGGCTCCAGGCTTTACCTCGCAATTAGCAAAGAGCAAATACACTTAATGTGAAGGAAACTTGAGTCTCCTTGACTTATGAAGCTAAACATGTGTGGCTCCAGCCGTTGCCATCTTGACACTGCCGGGCTTTGCTTTTTAATTCCAATGGTAGGCTACCACAAAACGCACAAAACTGTAAACATGTTTGTATCTGTTGTAAAGTCGTGAATTTAAACAAGGGGGTCTATGGGAAGCCAGTTGTATGGTCATTTGAGGACATTTTTGAAACTTTGGCTACATTTTTCTGTATTGGAGTTTGCAGCATGGTGGATGGTTTGAAATGTGGTACAAAAGCCTTGCTGTTCTTGACAGGGACGAGTGTAGTGGTGATCCTTAACCCCTCATTCAGCAACATCATGAATTACAACTTCTCAATACCTGCCAAATAATTACACTACCATTAGTGTCAGCTGTTTGTTGTGTTTGGAGCCCATTACAAAATCGCACTAAGCTAATGTGGCTCCCATGGTAAACATTTGAATGTACCTCTATGTACATCAGCAATTTGATATTTTCATAGCATTAGCGGTTAGCTCAAAGTTGACTCATTTTCTTGAATGAATGATCTATCAAGTGTTCAGCATTATACATTTGTTGCCAACAACCGATGATAATCACACACAACTTAAATGCAAGCTCTTAAAGGAATGCTCCACTCATTAGATAATTAATCAAAACTTCAGTATTTAGTGAAACATTATGTTTAAACATAATGTTTGCTAGTTTAGCATACTCAGCCTCGTTGTCCCTGGCCCTAGAACCACGATTTTATGGGGCCGGAAAAACTGGGGGAAAATACCCACTAGCCGGTACTACGCTATATGGAAAGGCCACCAAAAACTGGCCTGGCCTGGACGATAAAGGACGTTTAAACGGGGCTACCCGCTGCAATGGAAATGCGCTATAACATACCTTATTCTTACTCCGAGCACTACTTCTGGTCCTCCGTTGCTTCACACTTGCAGAGGGCGATTTCTCAACTGGCCGAACTGGTGTCCTGGTCGGTGATGACACCAGAAAGACCGATGGTACTGCATCTCCATTAAGTAATGGTTGTTCAATAAATCCCATGTTATGTTTTATCATACTCTCAGAGTAGTCGTCCGGAAACTTGAAATGTTCGCTGCATACATGCGCCTGTGGATCTTTCGGTTCGGGCCGGCCACATTTCGCTAGCCACTGCTTCCGAACGTACTTCCTACGCTTACCTTTTGGCAACAGATGGAACCGAGCATTCCGTGGATTGTTCCTATCAGAATTGTGGCAATGTTTCGCGATACAATGAGGCATATTTGAAGAGAGTAACTACAGTAAATAACATGAACATTAACGTGTCCTCGAAACCAAACGCATGGTTTACGTCACGTCCGGTAAAATGGCGCCGCCCACAGTGTTGATGTTATTTCGGTAATGAATCAGTTTAAAATCACTGATAATGTCATCGGATTAAAAAAAGAAGAAGAAAGACTGGCAGAGACTGGTCTGTTTTATCGGATGATAATTATTTAAAAATGAGTGTCATGAGCATACCATTCCTTTAAGCATTTCAATTCATGGTAACAAAGATAATTAAGTCTGGAAAAAGTCAAAGAAACTGAAGAGAAGGAGTAAAAAATAATTCATTCTTTAATAAAAAATACATTTATAACTTCGGCAGCATGAACTTCTCTTGAACATTTCCATCAACCCAGGAAGACAGGAACAATGAAAACCAACTGTACAGTAGGCATTGTAAAAATAAAACATATTCAGGGAAGCAAATACATACAAATGAGGAAGAAATGGCAGGTTGGATTGAAGGAAAAACAGCGACAATAAGAATGACTTTTTCTAACGTCAGAGTGTCAACAACACAACAGGAAATGTTGCTCTGGGTCGATCATAACACCACAAGGTTCTCTTCAGTCCTTCAGAACAACTACAGCAGCTGGGTACAAAACAAACAACATGGAGGGACTGTGGAGGCCTCATCAAGCCGTCCTCCTCACACACTGGTTAACAAGCAGCTTCACCACATCAGAGGGGGGATTGGCACAAATTGCGTCTTGATCAGACAAACTTCCTAATATATGGAGGAAAACTGAAACATTTACTACTGGAAAAGGTGTTTACTGTGCATTCATTCAATAGGGTTAGGGCAACCAGTGTAAACATTTTTGAGATCTGTATGAAATCAGAATTCAGAGAAAAAAGTCAGGATTTTGAGATTAAAGTCAGAATTCCGACTATCTTCGGATTTCTCTTTTACTTTGAGTCAGATCTATAAAAGACTCCATCTGGCGCTGATCCTCTTCTGTAATTACCTACATTTTATTGGACAATGGGATCGATAAAGTACATGGAGACAGAGATGAAAGTATTGATGGATGGACTGTAGAGCAGCCTTATTGCACACGGGAGAACACAGGAGGTTGTCATCCAAAATCAGTCCTGTGCATTCTTTAGAAATATACACACATTTTATTTTCCTAGTATTCCACACCAACTGTTGTGGTTTCTTTATTGGAGTATCTGCCCAATCACATCGGGCTCAGACCTGTTATACTGGGGTTGAAGGGGCTATTTGTAGCAAAGCATCTTTTTGAATAGGTGTGCATAGAGGGTTCTTTTTTATAGCACCGAAGAATCATCTCTGTCAAAAATAGAACGCCAACAAAGTAACCTTTTTGACATTCGTTTGAAACATTTATTTTTAGAAGTCACAGCAGTGCCTTTTTATTTCCCTTCCTTCTTAGAGTCCAACAGACTGAATCTGGAGTGAAATGAAGCCGGTCATGCCTGACAGTTTTTTTATGTTCATCGCCGAGGGCAGTGCTGTGACAATACCCAGTGAGAAAATGTAGGGTCACGTCCAGCAGCCAGCTGACACGTCCTCCCAGTTTTAAAATGATTACCCCCCCCAAAGCCGCTGACCGAAATATCACAGTTGTGGTTTTGAAGTGATGATTATGAGACAGGATCTGTGCCTGGGAGTAGATTTCACGTATGTGGCTGTTATTAGCTGCCAACCCAGTGTGCAGAGACCCAGCTGGATGGAGCTGTCAGCTGATGTGCAGGAGTTATGTTCAGTGCTTAGAGGGGCGGAGAGATTGTCTGAGGTGTAGTTCCCACTGCCTGCTCTTTTTATTTATTTACAGCCACATGTGGCAACAGCCATAGATCAGTGTTTAGCTCAAGGAGAGATTTAAATAATTCAGAAAATGACCTTCCCAGTTATGGGTCCTCTCTTGTCTCTGAGCATTGTGTTCGAAATATATTAAAATAAAATATCAATATTTTGTAAATTAACACAAATGTATCTTCATTAGGTTTGTACCCTTATATATATTAGACCGTTTTGTGGGTCTTTAAATATGTGAATGTAACCACTTCCCTTATTTTCTATTTAGATGTATTCTTATGATCTACGTTGTAACTGGGATGGTTTTACTTTTGTCTCTTAGAGATGTCAATACTTCATGTATTCTTACAAAAGTACTGAGGATATGAACTTCATTTTTTACTTTAACGAAGTCTGAATGTTTCTTTTGCAGCAGCATTTTGTCTTTCAGTCGAATTTTCATATCCACAGTAGTTTTTATTACTGTAAACTATCGATAATATGTCCTGTAGTATAATACCTGTACAGCCCTTTAAGTATTAACTTTGTCTTTTTCGTCCATTACTTGGCAGTGGCACTTTCTGGATACAGTATACAGTGTTTGGGTTATATTCTGACACTGTTCCCTAAATGAGAAACCAGTTCTTGGCATATTTTGACAATAAAATGACCTTATGACAAAGTAAGGATCTTTTCTTAGAAGTGCCGCTGTGTATATTGTGCTCTTTAACTCGTTGTGGCCTTTTCAGAATCGCTTAAAACTGGCTATTAACGAAATTAAAAAAGAAAAAAGTCTGCAGTCGGTCAGCAGGGAGAGGATCTGACACAGTAGCACCCAGCATCTGTGACTCTGTCATGATGGCATATTTCAGGCTGATCAAATGAAATCCAACTCACAAGTGTCTTTTTTTGTCTTTGAAAGTCAAAGTCTTCTTTTTTTACCCCCAGGATAAATTCCTTTGTCCATGTTAGGTATGAACGGAGCCTTCATAAAGACTTTTCTCTGCTAGTTCAGTACAAATGTGCTTGATCAAATATCAGTCTGCTGATTGGAGGTGGTCAGAAGTGTTAATGGGAAGGCTTCAGGAGCAGATTCACCTCCACTGATGATGTTTTTCTAAGGATGCAGTTCCAATCTGAGCTCAGCAGCTTGAGATTCCTGTCACCGTCTGCAAATATAAAGAAGATTTAGATAAGATTGAGGAAATTGTGAGATGATATGATATATTCCTCCTAATTTCACTTGAATGATATTTGCATTGTCTTCCCGGGAGGCTTTGAATGTGAGATGCATATTAAATTATTCAAACGCTAAGAAATATGTTCCCAATGTATATATCATTTCTATTGAAAAAGTTCAACAAAGCAGAGAAGTTTCTCGGTCTAGCTGCCAGATATGATTGTTAGCATCATAACAAGCATACCATCATTGCATCATACTGTTACAAAACTTTTTCACTTAACTTGCAGTAGTTAGTAGATTCTCAAGCAAGGAAGCAGATTTTAAAATAAAAAGTCATAACTGATACAAGGACATTTCCGGAAAGGACGTCTAAACATGTGGTCAACGAGCATTCACTCCACAATGACACAGATTTCCTCTCTGGACGGAGCATTAAATGATGGTGATATGTGAAGTGACAACGCCAAAGAGTTTACAAAGCTTGATGGATGGACAGTAATGTGTGTCCGTTATTTAAGAGTTAAGCTAAGGCTGTACCGGATAGTTCAAAGCGTCATCCATAATGACATTATTATAACATTCAGACTCTGCTCTGCTTTTGTATGCCTCCGAGCTGACCAGAGCAGTGGCTGGAGGCTTTATGATTTCCCGTCAGTCCCATTGTCATGAACACAATTATCTTAGGAACGCAGTGATGGAATTTCTTCAAACATTTTGTGAAATGGCAAAATAGGTTTTTTTCACGTTTTTGTGACATACAAAATGTGACAATTGCTTCTCTAAGACTTTGGGGGATTTTTTTCGTTTGGCAAAGAAGACTTTCTGTACAGCACTAAGGACAGCCGAGCAACAGTTGAAATTGAAAGTCATGACCCCCAGTTCAGCTAACAAAGCTCCAGAATAAAGTACCTTAGTCTTGTTGTGGATCCATAGTTATCTAACATGTGAGTGCTGGCCACCTCCAGGTTCCAGTCACACATCTCCAGCAGCTCACGACACTCTGACCTGTTCCTCAGACCCAAACAGAACAACTGCTCCACCTACAGAGACACGGAGAACAAACCAAGATGAACACCATTGTATGAAGAACCAGCAGTGGGGTGAAAGAGCAGTACTGTCTTAGGAAACACTCCCGCAGTGGGATTACAGCACCAGTAAGCACATTTGGACATTATTTTTAATCTTAGGTTAGCTAAACCTACTGTTCAAACACACACTTCTGTTACTTTACCGCCACTATTAAGAAGCACTCAAGTGTTCCCTTTTGCCCACTGCCATCCAAACACATCTTCCATCCTGCCACTGTGGCCCCAAGCGCATCTGAGAGGAGGCTGAATGCTTCTGTAGACACATCAGTGACTCTTTATGTTGTATTTATAGCCGGCTCTTTGGAGCAGCAATGACATGATTTCCCCTTAAGGTTCAACACAGTTGCACTAATCTTAACTTTAGATGAACCAAGAAAGCAAAAATGACAATAAGAAACTTTGAATGACCACAGAGAGGGACTCTGAGATGCAGTGGATCTCAGAACAGCAATGGTCACCCCTGAGGACTTAGCTACTTTATCAGTAATTGCACTGCTGCAAAATAAGCATCCACTTTCATTTTGATGGACTCAAACTATGAGATGCTGAGGTACTTTCTTTGTATAAAGTGTTGTTTTGCCACCTCAGTTTGCCTTTCTTGTGCAGTGGCGTACTTTTGATATAACAAAGTTACACTAATATTAGTTTTATTGCTCTTGACATTGCATCTAATCATTTATTCCATGCCTTGAATGTTAATTATTACAGGGTTGCCAACTTTGGGTACCTGGCTGGAGTGAGATTTTGATATCATGGGTTTAATCACACATATGCGCACGAAATTACTGCTATCGTGTCAGTAGCGGGACCTTAGCATATATATATATAGGATATACACAATATATACAAATACACAATATTGGACACAGACTATAAAGGGCACACAGTTTCCTTCACTAATGAAAGTCAAACACATGTTTGTTTCCACTGTTTTATTGTGTGCCTGTCGCGATAAGCAATTCATTGATTTATCGGCTCCGGAGTATTTTTGTTGGGTAATCTATGGTAGGGCTAACCCATACAGTGGTGGGGCTCAAGTCAGTATTTGCAATGTAATTACATACACGCTATATCGCCCCCTTGACAGTGAAACGCCACGCGTGAGGTTTAGATTATTTCCCTGTCTCAATCCAAATTGAACTGTATGAAATAAAAAGGAACATTTGTCTTGTAGTAAATAAAAAGGGCGACCTGGAGCCAATCCTGCTATTTTTCCACAGGTGAAAGAGTTGACCTGCTGAAAACCCAACCCCTGCACACATTCTGGTACTCTCTTGAGAAGAAAAATAAATAAATCTATTACTACACATTTAAAAAAATGAATGCCATTTTAGTTTTGTGTTACTTTGTTCTGAAAGCTGAACCTGCTGCTCCTCACAGAGAGAAGAGGGAAGAGGCTGTGTGAATTACTTTACATTTTGGATAAGGGTGGATAGCCCCCATTGTTCTGTGTGTCAAAATGAAAGAAAGCCCACACACCTACCAATCATCAAACCGTATCGATGTATATAGAGATGTACTACAGCAAAAGTATTCTCCGTCGGGACTTCCTGCAACAACACCTCGCCGTTATCTTGATTCTGATTGGCCAGAAGACATTATCAAAGTTGTTCTATTGAGAAGACGATCACTACGTGACAAAAGTTTTCAAAACCGTTTCTAGTCTTCGGTATTCTTGTTTTGGCGTGAGAATAGTTTTGGCAGCGTGAGAGCGTGAGATTGAGAGTGAAAGCGTGTGTCACACGCCAGATGCGTGAGAGTTGGCAACCCTGATTATTATAAGGTACTTCAATACTATGGACCAAAGAAAACTTACAAAAAACAGTAAAAGATGATCAGATGTAGGCCTATCCTTTGAATCTCCAAATACTTGGTAAAATAGAGAGAAGCTGTCATTAACATTAAATAACAAACATCTACAAAATGTCAGGGATTACAAATCAAAGATCTAGTTATTTTGGTTCTTCCTAAAGAAATGCATCCGGAGATAGTGTTTTCAAGACAGATCTTTCAAATAATTTAAGCTAGCTAACTTCATTAGCGTTAGCTGGACAGCAAAACAGCTTTAGCTACTGTTACATTAGTTTAAACAGTGATACTACAGCGAATATAAGTGAACTTTAAATACCATTAGCTAGCTAACTTTTGTAGTTTTAGCTCGACAGCTAAACAGCTTTAGAAGTGTTACATTAGTTAACACAGTGATACTACAGCGGATATAAGTGACATTTAAATACCATTAGCTAGCTAACTTTTGTACTTTTAGCTAAACTGCTTTAGCTACTGTTTAATTAGTTTAAACAGTGATACTGCAGCAGATACAAGTGAACTTTTAAATACCATTAGCTAGCTAACCTTTGTACTTTTAGCTCAACAGATAAACTGCTTTAGCTACTATTACATTAGTTTAGAAAGTGATAATAAAGCAGATATAAGTGAACCGTCAAATACTGTTAGCTTTAGCTTCCTTGCAAGCTGAAAAGGCTTTGGCTTGTTAGAAATTAAAATCAATGTTTTGATGGTATATATGTAGTTTAAACATACCGTCAGTTAAATGCTGTTTTATACTGAAAAACCAGAAAATTATTGTGCACAACCAGTTGTTAAGCTTTTATTCTGAAAATCCTTCATCTCCGGTTAGCAGTTAGCATGTGGCTAGTTTACCATTTTATTACATTTGACATTACATTGCATTTAGCTGACGCTTTTATCCAAAGCGACTTACAATAAGTACATTCGACCAGGAAGACACAACCTTGAAGAAAACAGAATCATATAAGTACATCAGGTTTCATAGAGCCAAACATTTCAAGTGCTACTCAACTGGCTTTAGGTAAGCCAGTCCTTTATTAGTATAAAAGTGCTTCGTTAATAGTTCTAACGCTCGAAGTGGAGTCGAAAGAGATGAGTTTTCAGTTTGCGCCGGAAGATGTGCAAGCTATCTGCCGTCCTGATGTCAATGGGGAGCTCATTCCACCATCTTGGAGCCAGGACAGCAAACCCACGTGTTTTCGCCGATGGGAACTTGGGTCCCCCTCGCAGCGAGGGCGCAACGAGTCGTTTGGCTGATGCAGAGCGTAGTGCACGCGCTGGGGTGTACGGTTTAACCATGTCCTGGATGTAGGAAGGGCCAGATCCATTCGCAGCATGGTAAGCAAGTACCAGTGTCTTGAAGTGGATTCTAGCAGTTACCGGAAGCCAGTGAAGGGAGCGGAGGAGCGGAGTGGTGTGGGAGATTTAGGAAGGTTGAAGACCAGACGAGCCGCTGCATTCTGGATGAGTTGCAGAGGTCGGATGGCACATGCAGGTAGACCAGCCAGGAGGGAGTTGCAGTAGTCTAGGCGTGAGATGACGAGAGCCTGGACCAAAACCTGAGTCGCTTTCTGAGTCAGCTGGGGACGTATCTTCCTGATGTTGTAAAGCGTGTATCTGCAGCAACGGGTTGTAGCAGCGATGTTTGCAGTGAAGGACAGGTTGTTATCTAGGGTCACACCCAGATTCCTTGCAGTTTGAGTCGGGGAAACAACTGAGGTGCCGATGTTGATTGTTAGGTCAAGAGTGGGACAATCTTTTCCCGGGAGGAAGAGCAGCTCAGTCTTGTCAAGGTTGAGCTTGAGGTGGTGAGCAGACATCCACTGAGAGATGTCAGCTAGACAAGCAGAGATGCGTGCAACGACCTGGGTCTCTGAGCGGGGAAAGGACAGAATTAATTGGGTGTCATCAGCGTAGCAGTGGTAAGAAAAACCATGCGGGCTAATGACTGATCTGAGCGAGTTTGTGTACAGGGAGAAGAGGAGGGGACCAAGAACAGAGCCCTGAGGGACCCCTGTAGTTAATTGACAAGGGTCGGACTCAGACCCTCTCCAAGTAACCCTGCAGGTACGGTCTTTCAGGTATGAGGTGAGGAGGGAAAGTGCAGAGCCTGAAACTCCAAGTTTCAACCTTTGTACTTTTAGCTCAACAGATAAACTTTCTTATAGAGGTGAATTCAGTAGCGAAATGACATGGAGTGATGCACACCGAAACCTACTGATTTTAACACTGCAACTATTGACGTATTATTATTGCTGAATATTAAATGAAGGTACAGTTTATTTGAATACAGTTATTGTTTACAGACGTGGGTAAGATGTGACAACATCCGGAATGACCAGAAACCAAACCAGCCGTGAAGTATTTTCTGTATTTTTTTAGAATATTGACTACAACGTTTAGAATGTGTTAAAGGAAAAGTGATGAAAGACAATATGAGGAGAAGAAGAGTGTTTAAGTATATATTGAATGTACAATGTCTGAATCCTCTGTTTAACGTAACAACGGACATTAAGATGTGGAGGGCCGACCCGCAGGGAGGAGCCAGCAGAGGATATATAACAGCAGCACCTGAGCGGTTCGGCCTCTCTTTTTCCTTCGCTCACCAGAGAGCCAGAACACAGCTGTTTTTCTGAATGAACAATGTTCTGCTTGTAAACATACCCGCGCCTTTATTTTTAATTAAAGTACCAATTTGAAAACATCTCAGAGACTCCATTTAGTCTCCATTTAAAGCTTCTCTCCTGGACGCGAGAATAACCAACACTGTTAACACTTAGTCTTTAAAAAGAATCAGTGTTTTCAGTTAAGCTAGCTATAGTATCAAAACTACAGAAGCCCAGTATGAACAGCAGATGTAGGAAGGATTTTAGTGACCTGCATAGTGCATTAAGAATGTTCATACTCTGCTATTGAATGCCCTCACCTTGAGATAATGCACAGCTTTCTGGACATTCCAGTTGTGGTTCTGGAGGGCGGCTTGGCACTCCTCTATCGTGACACCGTGAACTGCATCCTGCACCTGAATCACACAACGTCAACAGTGTAAGCAACATCCATACACTCATACACACTCCCCTCGCTCTGATTTATAATTTCTTCATCACTTGATGGAAATTGTAACATTCATGACCGGGTCTTATTGTTGAGATCCATTTATTTACAGTTACAAATCTGGCATAGGAACACATACATGGTCTTGCTTCAGTACATGGACGACTCCACAACATAAATATCCTTCTTTTGTATTTTTGTTTTCCTTACTCTTGCTGTTATCTTTATGTAAGATTGACAGGGTTCACCCTGGTCGTCAGTACTAAGGCCCAGAATGAATATTATGGTTCCAATAATGTATTTTATTTCCCAGGGAGGCAGCTGTGATGATTTGAGTCCCGGAATGACCTTATTGTATCCCATAAACTGTAACCTCCCCTGTCGAGATATGACAGGCAGGAGGCAGAAAGTCCTCGAGCGGTTTAATAAGTTGAAACAGTTGGCCTTTCTAACTTTTTGAGAATAATGCGATTTGTTGAAGGTTTTCTTTGTGCAAATGTTAAATTAATGCCCAGCAAGCACGTAGCTGGACTTCATCCATATTCAAGATCTCAGAGAGTGTCTCTTCAAATACATCCCAGAGGGCCTAAACACAATATTGTTTTTCTTAAAAATATGCTTTCTTGTTGCCTTCATTAGGAATGTACCCAAGCGCATTTGTTTACTTTAAGCTTCACCTGAAGGGATGACAAGATCCACTGGCAGATTGATGAGGCTTTTTCAACAATACCCCATTTGTTCATGATGTTCTCCTGATTATGTTATCTAAAGCAGTGGTTCTCAACTGGTCAGGCCTCGGGACCCAAGTAAAAAACTTGGTCAATACATCGCGACCCAACATTTTGAAGCACTGAAATCTATTCAACAAAAAATCGTGCTGTAATATATACACTTTTCAGCATACAATATTATTAAAAGTGAAGTACAGTGCATATATCCCTTATATCCCTTCACAGAACTAAAGTATGCTTTTTAAAAAGGTTTAATGAGATGATGGAATCAAAGCTGAACTATAAAAAAAGGCACACATGCTGAAAACCCAACCCCAGAAGGGGGGTCTGGGGGGATTTCCCCCCAGGAGATTTTTAGAAATACTAACAAACTATGCATTCTGATACACTCTGAGAAGAAAATAAATAAATCTATTACTACCCGACATATTAATAATATTTTATGCCATTGTTTGTTTTTTACTTTGTTCTGACATCTTGCTGCGAGAAGAGTAAAGAGGAGATAGTCTGTGTGACTTACTTTAAATTGTGGGTAAGGGTAGATAGTAGGGGTGTAACGGTTCACAAACATTTCGGTTCGGTACGTACCTCGGTTTTTTGGTCACGGTTCGGTTCGGTACGTTTTCGGTACAGCAGAATTTTTTTTCACAAAACAAAACATATATATATATTTTATTATTATTAAACTGTGAATAATGTATTCACTCAAATAAATACAACATATAATAAAATAAACATTAAGGTGCAGCATTTCGATGAACTGAAATAATCTGTATTTGAACTTTACTGTAGGCTACTAGTACTCACAAAACATAAACTATTAGTTTTGGGTTTTTTATTTTTTATTAAACTGTGAATCTTCACTCAAAAAAATACAAAATAAAATAAACATTAAGGTGCAGCTTTTCGATGAACTGAAATAATCTGTATTTAAACTGTACTGTACTAGTTCCTAAGCAGCCAGTTTGACATTAGGACTTGCTTGTCATTGTATTTTCATGTTTTTTTAAAGAAAGATGAACTTGTCCACATTGCTTGCCGAAAGGGCAGATCTGCTGGCACTAACAACGTCTCCTGCTGTGGAGAACACCCTCTCTAGGGACAGAGGTAGCAGATACAGCCAGGTAGCGCTTTGCTAACATGGCAACATAAGGATATTGGCGTTTGTAATAGCTTTGGCTCGGTCTGATCTTTCTGCGCGTGGTGGAGGCTTACATGCTAGTGGGAGTTGGGTTTGCACTTCAGTCTTTTTTCTTTTGGTATCGGTGATATTCACGTTCGGGTGATGCCTTTTCAAGAGTGTGCAAGTTTGGTGTATTGCCAGCCGCGTAACCAATTTTAGTTGAACAATGCCGACAAACAGCTTTGGTTCGGTCCACCTGTCTTTGTCCGTCATCCTTGTACGTAACTGCGAAACCAAAATGTTCCCAAACCGGAGACTTCAATGATGCTGGAGGATTTTCGAGCTCAACTTTATCTGCGTTCGCCATTCATTTTCGACAGTTCCTCAAATTACTGACTACATTTGAACGCATCCCTCTGACCAGCTCTCATAGTATGCCTCTCGTCCAATGAAATGACTTGCTCGCTCTATGACGCGTTGAACCCAATGTGAGCAAATTACTCTGAATGCTGCGACGCAGCACCTGAGATTACTTCCAAAAAGTTGTTCACGTTCTCAATTTTTTACGTTTAACATTATATTCGTTCGGTACACTTCGGTACACACCTGTACCGAACCGAAGGGCCCGTACCGAATAATTTCGGTACGGGTACGTGTACCGTTACACCCCTAGTAGATAGCTCCCATTGTTCTGTGACCTGTCAATCATCAGACCGGGGGTCATATTTCATTATGTGTTCATTTCTATCTGAAGTTGTACCCATGGATGTATAAAGAATAGTTCTACCACTAAGTTATTCTCCGTGGGGACTTCCAGCAACAATCTTGATTCTGATTGGCCAGAAGACTCGAAAAAACATCAGCAAAGATATTTTATTGAGAAGATGATCACTATGTGACAGAAGTTTTCAAAACCGTTTATGGTCCCCGGTACTTCCAGTCCAACGCCGACTGCATGCACAGCGTTAATATTATTATTATTATTATTACAGCGTTAGAAAATCGGGCCTTCAAAATAAAAGTTTGAAATTTTCTTTTTTTCTTCACTCGAAACGGGAAAACAATTTTTCTCAAACTTTTTGACCCATCAGTTGAGAACCACTGATCTAAAGTGAATGCAGAGTTCATTTCTACTTCTGGCATTGAACTTCTCTGCAGTACAGAGTATATTCGACCCCACATCCACAGGGCATCTATCTCACTATCCACTACCAAGTGACAAGTGCTTGATCGATGAACAGCCTCTGGTGTTCGCAGTGATTCTGACTCCAGTTCAATTAGTGTCAGCATCAATTGGCCGGCAAAAAGAAACCGATCAAACTTGTTACTTGGTTTCTAAATTCAATTCACAGCTAAGATTGATATGGCCTTTTTCCTCAAAGAACACCAGCATCAGAAGCTAACGATTTTTGTGCCCTTTTCATTGTGATGGGACTTAAAGTTATTTTTTTGTACTTTAATAAGTAAAAAGCTCATTTAAAAAGAGAAAGCAATCAAAGTGTCATTAAAGGGGATTTAAGGTCAACCTTTTAATGTGGATAAACTATCTATCATGAGGCAGAAAGTGACTGAGCTGAGCACTTTAATTAGTGAAGCAATAAATAACCATTAATTATGTTTTCCAAATGAGAGGTTTCAAAAGACATCCAAATATCTCTAATCTCACTTTTAGGTTTTTAAAAAACACATCCAAAGACACTTTTTAGGGGGAAAATGTATAGCACTAACCATTACATAACATAAGACAACATTACAAGGGACACAATGAGCTTGAATAAAGAGTGTGATCATATGGAATTTTAAATATGTGTGTTTTTGGTTCTTGGGTGGTTGTCTACATATTTATTTTTAATTACCGAAGGGATCCAATCACCTATTATGTTTTTGAATATATATTTCTTTAGGTTTTTTCTGTTGAATGTGGAGTTGTCATTTCATCATGCTGTTGTGTCCTATATGTGTATCCTTTGCCCTTACTAAATTAAAAACATTTATTTATGTCTGACCTTACCATTTTGACCCTGTCGGCTGAGTTCCCTCCTCCGTCTGTCCTGATACAGGAAGCCGTGGGGACCACCGCTGCTGTCAGCCCCTCTGTACACACGCGAGGGAGACTGACTGATGTCTTCATCCCTGACCGGGAGCCCCCCAGACTGCTGTTGTTGTTGGAGGAGAAATTAGTCTTCAGCTCGCCTGGCAGGACAAGCCCCTGTCCCTGGCTGCTGACCACCATTGGTCTCACAGTGGCTGTGTTAGTCTGTCGTACATGTCTCTCCTCCACGCCGCTGGCAGGCAAGCTCTCCGCCTCCCTGAAGAAGCGGTCGTAGCGGTCGAGGTACGGGGGCCTCTCTGGTAGAAGGTAATAGTGTGTATTGCTGACTTTACGTCCGTCACGCACTATGGGGAGGATACAGGGGCCCTTGCTGGCATCCTTCCCCTGCGCCTGGATCACTTTGGGTGCAGCATATTTAGGATCCGAGGCGAAGCTGTGAGTGGTGGGCATGAGTTTACCTGGAGAGGAGGAGAGGTAGGAGCCGTATGTGTGTGCAGAGGAGGAGGATATGGGAGCTGGCATGGTGGTGGGGCTCGCAGAGTAGATTCTCTGCTGAGGGGAGCCCACCACCAGGCCCATGGGGCTGGGGGTCCTTGAGCCCGGCTGGGACAAAGGGTCCCTGGGAGGAATCTGAGGAGGGCGCTCCTGGGTGGAGCGTAAAACCTCCTCAGTGGTGTCAGCCGGCGTCGGTGACAGGGAGAGATCACGTGACCAGCGAGGAGAGGTGTAGTCGCCCCTCTTAATGGGGCGAGGGGGAATGGGGACACGTGGGGGGATCTGGGGTCTGTCCTTGTTGGAGGAAGGGATACTCTGCTGGTGTCCCTCCTGGGTCCACAACGGCAAGTTTGAGCGCGTAGTGCTTCCTGTCGGGACGTTCAGCCTCCTCATGCACTCCTGCTGGAGCTCTTGGAAGATCTCTGCTGACTGCGAGAAGGAGGAGGACAGGACCTGGCTCTGCCCGCTGGGGAGGAAGAGGTTGTCCTCAAAGCCTGATCTGTCCGGACCCCTGGAGGCAAGACCCTCACCATCCACCTGCTGACTCTCATCTGGGTCACCGCTCTGCTCCTCCTCCTGCTGCTGCTCCGAGCTGTTGATGGAGCTCACCTTAGGGGAGAAAGAATATTTAAAACGTTCTTTACAGATTAGAACCGGAGATAAACCATTTTTTGCATAATGTAAAATGTGCTGCGTCACCCCCTACCGTACCTCCATATCGTCTTCGTCTTGGGCTACATCGTCATATGCCGGGGGTGGAGGTAAGGGCCGGGCATCCCAGTCCACTACAGGTGTAGGGTGAAGGGGGCGAGGCAAGGACTTAGACGGACTCTGAGGCGGCGTTCGGTCCAGGAGGTTCTCTGCTCCCAAAAGTAGCTTCGCCAGTGAAGGAATCTGGATTTCAACCACAGGTGAGGGGGAGGGCGAGGGTGTGGGCGGGGGGAACTCTTCCCCAAAGTCAATGAGCGACACCTCGCTGTTCGGGGTGTGGCCTGAGCCTGAAGTCCGGCCGCCCCCCTGTTTGGAAGCGGAGACCCACGCAGCGGGTTTCAGTTTTAAGCCTTTGATGGAACCGGTTTTCCGAAGCGATAATCTCTTTAGTCCTGCTGAAGTCAGATCCTCTTCATCGTTTACTGCATCGTAGCAAGGCTCTGGAGACAGGAACACACAATACGTTAGTTTAGTTGCTGAGAAAATGTAGAAAGTGATAAAATCCCGAAACGGCACAAAACACAAGACACACTCCACTCCAAAAAAGTTTCCAGGTTGAAAGTTAGTCATATTGTGCACACTGCACACCAGTTAGAGGGGAAACAGAGGCGGGAAGATGATGGTAAGAAGGGAAATAAAAGTAGCTGACGGAAGCACTGCAAAAACAGGCACAAATACATATGGGATGTACCTTTGAGGAGTGGAGCAAGGAGGGAACAGAGAGGGCAGGAGCAATGGGTGAGGAGCTGCTGAGAGAAACCAGACTTACTCTTGAGTATCACGGCTGGCTGGGGAGGGCGGAGGGGAGGGTCCTCTGGAAGAATAAAAGCGAATAGCGCCGCCGTGAAGGAGAAATAAAAGAAAAAAGAAGCAGCAAAGATAGAAAGGTTAGAAAATAAAGCAGGAAGCAAATGTCAGATTGGATGTGAAAGTTTGCCAGCAAGTGTTAAGAAAAATGAAAAGCAAGCTGGGGCTATTTTCCAAAGACAAAAATGGAGCCGCAATGTTTTAATGAGGAATCTGATCATTGTATGAAAGGGACAATGAGCAGCGACCTGGTCATTATAGAGAAAAGGGGATTGTCTAAATTGACCAATCAGAATCGAGTACCAACTGCGCAGTGGAATAATGATAAACAATATAGGTATTAGCACCAGACAACAATGAAATGTATCTGAAATAATTGTGTCTTCATGCTGTTGAGGTTTGTTTTCATGAGTTACAGAATTAGTTTGAGGTGATGATGATCAGTGTTTTTATGTTTTTGGAGACATAAGGCAATGGTTTATCCTTGGTAAGATATATATTTCAAATGGTGATCATTATGGCGTGGTGTAAGTCTTTAATCAGAGCTCTTCTACTCACTCTTTGCTCGTCCTGGCAGATTTAAGGGCCGAGCATTGGGGTCCACACCGAGAACATCTGGAGGGTCCATGGGATTACTGAGGTACAAACTGAAGGGAAGAAGGACAGATTTAATCACAGCAGTTGGATTTATAGTGATGCTAATCATCATCATTGTGCGATTTAAATCTAGAGACCTCGCACTATTGTCTTTCTTTTCTGGTTGCTCATGGCTGTTCCAAGGTTAGACTGATACTAGTGTCCCACACCAGGAGATCTGTGAAGGTAAGCTTCTGAAGGCTTCAATGGGATAATCTGAAATGAGTTTGACGCGTAAACAGTGGCCGTTAAATCAGGCGCTTACTGAGACATGGCACGAGGCCATATATCTGTGGGTTATTCGTCCAGGGTAGATTTAATACCGTGCGAATGAGGTTGGTATAGAGATGACAATGATGGAGTCAAGTATTGAGGGCCCAGGTGACAATGGGCTCTACGGTTGTTCTGAAAAGATCGAGTTTCATTGCGTTCGGCAGGTCAGATTGCCATATTTGTCTAATTAATTGCATTGGAGGGAAAGATACTGATTCTACCTTGTTGGTGTCAAGTTGCAAAACGTTGGACATTTATAACATTGTGCTACTGCATCTATTGGTTAAAGTGTATAATTACAAATCATTAAAATCTAAATAGACTTTTACCACCAACTTTCAACATGGGTCAAATTTATGATGGATATTTAGAAAGTGATGAGACATTTAGAGCAGTGGTTCTCAACTGGTCAGGCCTCGGGACCCACTTTTTCCTTTGTCAATAAATCGCGACCCGAAATGTTGAAGCACTCAAATCTATTCAACAAAAAATCGTGCTGTAATATATACGCTTTTCAGCATACAATATTAATAAAAGTGAAGTACAGTGCATATCCCTTATATCCCTTCACAGAACTAAAGAATGCTTTTTAAAAAGGTTTAATGAGATGATGGAATCAAAGCTGAACTGTATAAAAAGGCACACATGCTGAAAACCAAACCCCAGAAGGGGGGTCTGGGGGGATTTTCCCCCAGGAGATTTTTAGAAATACTAACTTATAAACTACGCATTCTGGTACACTCTGAGAAGAAAATAAATACATCTATTACTACCCGACATATTAATAATATTTTATGCCATTGTTTGTTTTTCACTTTGTTCTGACAGCTGAACTTGCTGCTCCACACAGAGAGAAGAGTAAAGAGGAGATAGTTTATGTGAATTACTTTAAATTGTGGATAAGGGTAGATAGCTCCCATTGTTCTGTGACCTGTCAATCATCAAACCGGGGGTCATATTTAATTATCTGTTCTTTTTTATCTGAAGTTGTACCCATGAGGCGCGTTCACACCGCAGTACTTTTCCCACTTTAGTTCCGATATAGTTCCGAAATGTCGCGTTCACACCAAAAAGAGCCGGAACTAAAATGAGTTAATCAGAACCTTTTCCGTCCCTGCTAGAGAGCAGGGACTTTCGTGGGAGAAAAAGGTTCCTATGTCTGATTGGCTGTGCCGATTGCAAACCACGCCCCGTAAAACTCCCAAAACGTTTTGTGAAGCTGCCATTTTATTATCCTTGCATTAGCATTAGCCCAGCGCACAAACGCAGAGAGACTAACTTATTGCAACACAAAAGAAAACTACTGGGAGTACCAGCAGCTTCTACTGAGGCCAGTCCCCAACTCCGGGGACTTCCGGCCGGGGACTTCGGGCGGCAGTATACGCCGTGAAGTGGTTTGCGGCCTGCCAGTAAACCCAAAGCAGAAGAAGAAGAAGTGACGTCAGCGGCTTCATTTACGTAATCTTCCCTCAGGAACTTATTCCGGTGTGAACGCTGAAAAAAGTTCATGAGAACTAAAGAGTTCTCATGAACTAAGTTCACATGAACCTTTGTAGGAAAAGTACTGCGCTGTGAATGCGCCTAATGATGTATAAAGAATAGTTCTACCGCAAAGTTATTCTCCGTGGGGACTTCCGGCAACAATCTTGATTCTAATCTGAAGTTTTCAAAACCGTTTATGGTCTCCGGTACTTCCAGTCCAACGCCTACTGCATGTACAGCGTTAGAAAATCGGGCCTTAAAAATAAAAGTTAGACTTTTTTCCCAAAAAAAAAAGAAAGAAATTAATTATTTTCAATTTGTTTTCTTCACTCACACATCTGCGACCCGTTTCGAGTGGGTCTGGACCCACCAGTTGAGAGCCACTGATTTAGACCATGTGAAACATTTAAGATAACAGTGAAAGTAAAGAAGCCGGATCGTACTCGTCTATCCTGTCGGGGAAGCCCCAGCAGTGGTGAGGGTTGCTGTCTCCATGTCCCGTGTGGATGAAGCTGTTCTTGAGGGGCCGGCTGATGTCGTGCGCTGACAGACCCGCGACTGACGTCACCACGTTTCTGGGGAACGGTCCCAGCTTCAGGGTGCGCTTGTTTTGACCTCGCCACCAGTAGTTCTCTGCTCTGAAAGACACAGAGGTGCTGAGGTTGAAACATGGACAGTCATTGACAATACAGATATTCTACTGGACTATGCAGCAAACAATTATTTGAATTAAAAGATAATAAAATGAGGAATAATGTCAGAAAATATAAAAAGATTGTCCATTCAAGTTTCTCTCAATTACAAGGTTATGTCTTTGAATTTTTAGTTTGATCAGTCCAAAACCCAAATATATAACTTTTAATATGATAATATTAAATAGGATAATACAACTAATAATCTCAATATTCGAGAGCCTAAAAACAGCATTTCTGCCATTTTTGCATTTGAAACTACTGAGACTAATTTATAAAAAAGAATGTGGATTGACTTATCGTTGCATCACTAACGTATCGTACACACGGTTCCGTCGCGTTGAAGCTTGCCGCTGGGCGTGTCTGGCTCGCGACCAACAACCAATCACATTAATCTCCCGCCCCGTACACACAAGCACGCGGTTTGATTGGCTAACGCTTGTACTGGCATATGATTTGATTGGCTGGCGCTTCCGTCGACGCTTGAAAAGTTGAACTTTTCTCAACTTTCAGCGCGAGCAACGGAGGCAAAGCGACGCAATGGAACCACAATGCAGTTCGGCAAAGAGTGACGTCACCCCATTCAAAGTTAATGGGAAGCATCTCCGTTGAAGCACGCGACGGAACCGTGTGTAGGGTGCGTAATTAACAATTAAATAATTTGGTTTAATAGCCATTGAACACCTTTTTATAAGTCAGCACTAAATAAGATTTCTGTTATTATTTAGTGAAAAGAGATGCATTTTTCCTTTTAACAGTATGTATCATCAACATTCTTTTAAAAAAAAACTTTTACGAGAATTAACACCCACCTCCCCTCTATGATGGTGATGACATCATTTATCTGGATGTGGAGTTTTTCAGGCTCGTCAAAGTCCTGCAGAGCACACATGTCTGTTGGCATGGTCTGAAAAACACATAAAACACATATGAGAAACATTAGACATTTTAACACAGCCCACATTTATGAGTGGGCCATAATGCAGCTGGTTTTCATAATCCTACCAGCTGAGGGTATGATAGTATGAACTCTGCAGTGACTCCACTAGGTGGAGCTACAACTCCAGTCCTGCAAAGATGACTGCTGAGGGAAAAGTGGCCTCTGCACTGGAGGGTTATCCTCAAGTGTCCTTTGCTTAGTGGCTGAAAGTGGCTATATATACTTCTTAAGGGACAAAAATGACAGCTGTCGTACCTGCAGCAGGAACTCGCGCAGGGCAACAAAGGTGGGTCTGTCGTCTGGTTTCTGAGCCCAGCACTGCAGCACCACGTGATAGATGTCCTGCGGACAGTCTTCAGGCTTCGGGAGGCGTTCACCTTCTTTATCAATCTTGTGCAAGATCTGGGGTTGTTTGTTTTTGACAATGCAGAAGAAAAACAAAAGAAGACATTGTAGATGTGAATAAATGTTACAATTTGTTTGTGTCTGCTTATGTTACAATAGCTTTAAGATGTTTTTGTATAACTACTGTATCTTTTGGAAAAATAATGATTGTGTGAATGTTCACCTGGCTTCCGTTGAGGCCCAGCCAGGGCTCCTGGCCGTGTGTGAACATCTCCCAGAGAGTGACTCCAAACATCCAGGTGTCTGTAGCGTGGGAGAACGTTCTGGTCTTCAGACTCTCTGGGGCGCACCTGCAGCAGGACGGAATCTTTGTTTAAAACTTGAACCGTACATGTCTGAACATATTGTCACTTTAGACAGAGAATATTTTCCAGTTATTTAATGTAGCTACTTTCACATTTAACAAAATAAGCTCTGTATTTGGAAAATGTAGCCTTTGTGCCAAAGTAATCCTGCCATATTTTTTTATACTTTTAAAAATACAACATTTTAAAAATGATAATATAAATCACAGTTTAAGCTGTTTTATTTTTAAGGTTTTTTGGGGCAACCAGTGCCTTATTTTAGAGACAGAGTTGGGTAAGGAGGCATAGGGGATGACATGCAACAAATTGTTCCAAGCCGGATTCGTACCCGGGTCCTCCGCATGGGGTACCAAGCCCCGGTTTCATTATTTTTGGGTAGAAATGTACTCTCAGATTGTAGGATCCCTTATTATTAACATCTTTCATAATCGAAGAAGAAAGTCACTCCTTCAAAACAAGTCATTTTAGCCTAAGGTAGGTATGAATAAAATAGAGAGGCAGAAACAGAGGCACACGCATTTCAACTAATATTACTTGGAATCCTGGTATTATTTTTGCATCAAACATATAATGGAATACAATAACTTAAGTTTTAGCCCAAAAGGGAAAAAAGTTTGGGCCACTCTGATCTATATGAATGAAGACAGCAACAACTGAGATTTCTTGATCAATGTAGAAGTTTGCAAAAGGAAACCTTTCAAATAAGAACTATCAGAATGGCTGGAATGCAGCTGTGACCGATCTGATTTTTCTGTGGAAAATGTCTGCAATAAAATCTGACTCCCTCCCTAAACCCTCTCATATCCGTGCATCCAAGTTCAGCTTTGGTTTTTGTGCTGCTCTCTCAGTCCACCCACCATGCGAAGGGGACCTTGCGATGCTCCTGCATGACGTAGTGCTCATCGTTGTTGGGCAGCGCCCTCATCAGGCCGAAGTCTCCAATCTTCACTCTGTGAGCCGAGGCCAGCAGGATGTTCCTGAAAGAGAGAGTTATGTTATAGCATAATATTGTAACTGCAATTTAAAATTACAATTATGTTGTATGTATGGTCGGCAAAGGCAACATTCTTAACACACAAACACATTTTGACTGAAAAACTGAACATTTAAATCCCATACTGGTAATGCGGAATGGTCACAGCCCTAGCAGGCAGAGACAAAAACAGATCATTTTGTTTACAGTCAATCCGATCCACAGTCAGAATGTAATTCAGTCAAATAAAATGTAGTCCATGTGCTAGACAGTTACAGTACAGCTAACATGTTGTCCAAAGTCTGAGTAGTTTTCTGTTGTGAACATAGCCCTAAAAAAATAAGGACCTACTTCAGGTTATTTATGAAGGCAATAAATAAACCTAAGATTTATTAGGAATACAATTAACTGTGTTGTAGGTTATAACTTAACTTCAAAAAAGTCCTGTTTTTAAAACCAAAGCTTGAGAAATCCACTTAGTGTTTTGCAAAATAGCTGTGGGCAGTCATTATAATTTTATCACAGCCCTAACTGTGAAAATGACTTATTTTTCCCCATCGTTATGATTAGTCTCAAGCATCTATGTGGTGTCAACAGTTAGGTGAAAGTTACTCATTTGGGCAAGACCAAGAGCTTAAACCACACAGTCCAGCCCGCCAACCTCTGACTCATTATACTGGTGGGCCAAGTCTGCCTGTAATAGTCTGTAAATCTCTGGGTGGGGAAGGAGAGGCAATATAAATAATTAAACATAGCAGTAAAAAATCCCTGAAAGAAACATCTGTTTCATAGAGAATGGGAAAAACACGCTGTTCAAAAATAAGTTTTTAACGTTAAGGGGCTCAAATATATAAAAGGGCTCATAATCAGGTTCATATTTGTATTTTGTGCCTCTACTTAAACCTGTTTCCATGCTTTAATGTTCACAAAGCTCTTCATTTTTCTTATACTGCCTGTGCTGCAGCACCTCTTTTCACCCTCTGTCTGAAACCAGAGCCCAGTCTGCTCTGATTGGTTAGCTGGCCAGCTCTGTTGTGATTGGACAACCGCTCAGATATGTCGGGACATATCTGAGCATATCTGAGCCCCGCTAAACAATAGGAACGCAAGTCTTACTCGTGATGCTCGGCCATTGTACCCCCTATCATGTGAATGCAGCTCTAATCTGCAATGTATCTTAGTTCTGACTAGAGTTTTAAAAATTCCGAACATTAAATGAAGACCTTATGTTCTCAGGAAGTAAAAATTGAACGAACGTTAATTGAAAGTAAATCACAACATTCCGCCCGACCCACGACAGACTTGATGATTTGAAAACAGGCTTTATGCTACAGCACTGCCTTTAAATGACTAAAACACGATAAAAAAATACACGACCACACGTTTGAAGTTGCTCGTACCTTGCTGCCAGGTCCCTATGGATGAACCTCCTCTGCTCCAGGTAGGCCATTCCACAGGCCACCTGTACGGCATACTGACACAGAGTGTGGATCAACACCGGGCCCTGTGGACGGACACACCGCAGGCGCTCCAGCAGAGAGCCCAGAGGAGCCAGCTCCGTCACCTGGGGGACAAACAGAGGAGGAGAGGCATTTTGGGTGAAAAGAGCCACGTGGCAGTCAAATGCAAAAGTAATGAGGAATGGATGATGGTGACTAGAAATAGATCGAAGACTAAAGGAGGGAGTAAAAACATTAGCTATCAATAAGCAAACAACTATTGTAAGTGCTACAACGTACAAAAGAGAAGAAACAAATATTGGCCAAGAAAACGGAAAAAAAATAAAAGCAACAGGAAATGACTAAAAAAAGCCTTGAAATGTCAGCCCTTTATTTTGGTCCTCGGCCCACTTGCTCCCCACCCTTCCTGTCTCCCTTCTTCCCTCTATCACTTCTTCCAGGCATAAAAAAGGCCTTAAGGATTTTGATCAGATTCTAGCAGGCAGAGGTCATGAAGCACGTTTGTGTTAAGTGTGTGGATCTAAGTTGGACTACAGGCTGACTGATGTGTGTTTATGGGTCCCTTTGGGTGGGTGTTTCTGTGGGTCCACTACCATCTTCATTGGGTGTGTGAGCACCACACCGTAGAGGCGGATGAGGTTCTGGTGGTCCAGGGAGTGCATGGCGTTGACCTCGCAGATGAAGTCCTCCAGAGCGTCGGGCTGGCTGAGCACGTCTGTCTTCAGACACTTCACAGCTACGTTCAACTGGAGACAAGGACCAAGATTTAGTTTAAGTAGATTCCAAATAATCAACCTTTTCCCCACATGTTTTTATCATGGCAAACCTAGGCCCTTCATGCCAATGATGTTATTGAATAATAATAATATTGGACATTACATGCAAATGAATATGATTACGTTTTACTTATAGCATGATACTGCAAGTGAACTTGATTATTTTTTACTGAAAAACCTTTTACATAAGAATGTCACCAACATTGCATTTGCTGTTGCGTTTTTTGTGGTTTTATTTTATGAATATTTTAAATAATTAGGAAGTTAATAACTAATTGAAAGGGCATTATATTTTCATTAGATCAGTGGCATAAAATGTCCCTTAATCTTAAAAGTTTGTTAGTTTATTGTAATTATTCCTCGTCCAACAAAAGTTTTTTAAAAAGTATTAATTTATAAGGCTTGGGCAGAAGCATTTATAAACAAAATTCACTCAAACATCAAGACAGTTTGAGTACACAGATTGATTTGCCTGCTTTTTTGTATTCTCACATTAGCACAAAATGCTAACAAGCATTATGTAAAATAACTATACCAGTGTATCATGCCCCAGATCCTTAATTAACCCCATCAACAAACAGGAGTTTCTTTATACTTAATGAGTGAACTATTTAAATCTCCTCACCACCTTCCCCGCAGGCGTCAGCCACTCTCCTCTCTTCACTACTCCAAAGGAGCCGTCGCCCAGCTTCTCGAACAGCGTCAGATCCTTCTCCGGGATGAGGCAGGTCAGAGCCTGCTGCTGCCCGTCCATAGGAGCACCACCACCAGGCTGTGTGGACAGGACTCCCTCCCCCAGGCCCAGTGGGGGGGTGGGAGACAGCTTACGGAAGGAGGAGGCCGGCTGGCCCTGCTGGGGGAAGTCTCCTCCGTCTGGACGCTTCCCGCTAAACACCTACAGGGGAACAGAAGAGAGAGAACACATGAAGCTGGGTCTGCAATGAAGGACGCAAAATAGACAAGTGTGTGTGTGTGTGTGTGTGTGTGTGTGTGTGTGTGTGTGTGTGTGTGTGTGTGTGTGTGTGTGTGTGTGTGTGTGTGTGTGTGTGTGTGTGTGTGTTTAGGAGAAACAATGTGGTGAAATAGTGTCAAATAATTATGAATAGTAATTAAAAGGCCAATAGAGTAGTGAAGGAATGAGTCCTAAAACCCATAGATGATATTAGAACTTAGCATTATTAGCATTAGCATATTAGCACTTCGGTCCCCTTGTCTCAGAGTCAACATCTTTTTAAAATAGAATATACTTTTTAGTTAGATGCCTGGAATAAGGTCTAAGGTAATAGAAGCATCTCAGATTTTCAGGTTTTGTTATATCAGTAAATACCCCACTTGTGAATGTGTAAAACTTTTACGTTTGTTAATGGCAGTTGCTAACATGTGACTAAAGAAGGAGTGTTGGTGCTAAATCAATTATAAACTCTATGTAACACTCTTTTTTTCTTTGTCATCCTGAAGGAAAACTATTTATTTTTAATGTATTACTATATTTTACAATATATTTTTAGACCACAACCAAATGGTGATCCCTGGGCTCTTATCTGGGACCTGAAGGGTGTAGCACTAATGCACATACACTCAAAACGACAGCGTCACTACAGGCACAAGCTCTTGAGTGAACACTAAGGCTAGTGTTATATCTGTACATACGTTGAATAATGTACTCATAAAACATATGGTGGATACGCTATGTCAGCTAACTATGTATGTGTAACGAAAGAAGCACATATACACAAACAACCACACACACACACACACACAAACACACACACACACACACACACACACACACACACACACACACACACACACCACACACACACACACACACACACACACACACACACACACACACACACACACACACACACACACACACACACTTATCATTATTATCAGATAGAGTCATTTCCAGCCTCTTGGCTTAACAGAGCAGGAATGACTTAGCAGTTAGGAAGTACTCATTAAGAAGCATGATTAGATTAAGTGACCTGAATGTATCCATGTGTGTTTTTGTAGGTGAGCTTCCCCTGAGTTTTAACCAATACAATGTGTGTTCTGTGCAGAGCCATTCATGAAAACCTTTGTTTTGAGGCCCTAAATAAGACAGTTTGCCAACATAAGAATGTACATAAACCTGTAAAAACACTACATAAAACTGTTTCACGGAAAAAAACAAGGGTTCCGTCAACATTGCTCCGTGGGAAATTGGCGTCCTAGGAGGGGATGTTGGCCGACTGGACCTTAATGTTTGCTCAGATGGTTTACTCTGATGACGTCTGATGGCTAAAATGATTTCATCATGCTAAGAACAACCCAGATCTAAATAGTTTACCGTACAAATGCTGACGGTGATTTATGTGCCAGTTTGAAATTCTTGGAAACATTAATGACGTTAAGTGTACACAACTGAACAACATATATTACTTATAGCAAAGGTGCAGTTGAAACAGGTGGGTTTTTTTTGTCAAAGGCAAAGCAAATAGATTCCAAAGCAATACATTAAAGTCAATGTTGTTTCATTTCCCCAGAAAGTTGAATGAGACCAACGTCATTATTATTGTCATTATTGGCTGGCAAACAAAGGTCAGTATTTAGAAGCAGCACCGTCAGTGAAAAAGAGGTGTCGATGAATGCCCGGTGCCCGACATATTTGACTGGCCCAGATATAAACAGTAGCGAGCGGTGTGTGGTTTCACATTCACACCGGACCAGACATGACATAATGCCGCAAACCTTTTTAAAAACACCACATCTCTGTGGTCGCTGTGTGGTTTCAAATAGGAGGCTCGACATTCAAAAGATTCTGAATATGGCAGCGCGTGAACACACACACATGCACAAACACACAGACACACACACATGTAGGGGGCTGAGGAAGCAGATTGCTCTAGCAGAGGATGGTGCCAGAGGCGGAAACGGACAGGTGTAATTATAGAAGGCAAGCACCGTCCTCTGGGCACTGAGACTTCAACTGAGAACAGCAAAAACACACCCTCACACACACAAACTCCCTACTGCCTCAGTTTTAAACCTTGTATGTGTTTAGGTATATATTCCATGAGCGTGTGTATAAGGTTGCTTTAACTTTTTCATAAGCAAGGTTTCCATCCGAATGTTTTGCAATTTCTTAAAGAAGCCCTTTCATGCATTTTGGGGTTTTTCCTTTCCTGTAGTGTGTTATGTCGTTTTGTGTGCATGTAAATGGTCTGAAAACGCTAAATTCTCAAAGGGAGTTTCTCTCCCACACCCCCCCTTCCTGAAACGCCTCCATTGGACTCCTTTGTTAAATTCCGCAACATAGTGACATCACTACGTAACACTCATGTTTCTCTTGGCTAGCGCTCCACCACATTAAACATGGTAGTCTAAGGGGCGGGTCATCTCTAAGTGGTAACTAAGCATAAAAAAGGTTTTATTCTTGTAATATTTCAAGATTTTAGATTTGTCTTAATTGTCTGTGTTTCCACTCAGGTTTTTAATGCACAAGTTGAAATCAGAAAGAGATGGATGGGAATGCACCTTCACACTACTGTACTGTCTCTTTAAGGCAGTGGTTCTCAAACTTTTTCTGTCAGGCCCCCCCTTTGGAGAAAAAAAAAAGTCGGGCCCCCCCAACACAAATAGTCAGGCTCAGTAGCTCAGGTAGCTTGACGTTTCATAGAGGGTGCTCAAACATTTAGGGTTTCCCATTAATGTACCGGTCGCTACAGTAGAATTTTCTACTGCAACATTCCCCACGCATATACACAGTGTGACTGTTACAATGAAGGCTCGATAATCAGCTTAGCAGGGGTAAAGTGCTATTTTTATAGGTGGTGTGTGGACCTCACATAGGGGGGTCCGGGGGCAAGCTCCCCCGGGAAGATTTCATTTTTAAATATTGAAGTTAAATGCATCAATCTGGTGCACTTTGAGAGCAAAATGAAGAGATCTATGGATACATCTCTCAACACGTAATAATACTGTACTGCATCATATTATTTTCGAATCAATAATTTTAAAAATTATGATTTTTTTTTTTTTTTTAAATCTTTTTTTTTTTTTAAACATTTTTCCTCCTGGTCTCTCGTGGCGCGCCCCCCACTTTGAGAACCACTGCTTTAAGGGATGAACTTGATCAGATCATATCATCTGTGCAAGGGGAAAGTTTGTGCCATATTGTTCATGAGTGTGTCTACGCTAGGACGGAAATACAGACCATGGCGACACAGCGTTAAGCATACCCTGTACCATAATATATAAGTACTGTGTGTGTGTGTGTGTGTTTGTTTCCTGTCTATGTCTGTCACCTTGCTCATCCAGGACTTGCGCTTGCACATGGCTTTTCTCCTTTTCACAGCCTCCCACAGTCGTCTCTGTCCTTTAGGAAAATTAAAAAAAAGAACAAGAAAAATTCAGTGAAGGTCAGCAGATGATCCAAAGGACAAAGACAACAGCTTATCTCTCTGGGTTTAAGCATCAGGAAGTATCTTATGATCAGTTAAGAATTTACCTTATAGAAGGTATCATATACGAAAGGTGGAATATTTCAAATTCAACGTAGTCTCACATAATTGGAGGAAATTCAAATACACGCCTAGATGTATTATGAAAGGGGAAACAAATACTATACTATATGCAAAGAAATAGGAGATAAAGAAATACAACATACAAAATATATATGGAGAGCTTACAGAACAGTGAGCAAAGAAGTGATGAATATACGAGCAGGAGAAGTGGGTGTAATTAGTCGTAAGCGGCTCAGTAGAGGAGCCCCTGAGGGCCTCAGTGACTGGATTTGAAACATCACACTGCACACAATAGACTTGTGACTTAAGAGTCCCTTCCTATTGTGGCCAATTACCGGTTGTAAATGAAATAAGGGGTGTTAGTGATGGAGGATTTGCTCGAGCTATGCTGAGCACATTACAGACGACAGAAGTAAAACTTGAGTGCGCCCTTAATGAAGCAGTTAAGGCTGTACAACTAATCACGTTTTTTTTATTGCAATATGCTAAAATATTTAGATGGCAGGAAGCTCAGTGTTTGTTATGTCACATGTATTTAGTGCACATGCGCCAACCGTGCATGCAGCCTTTTGCAGTTGCTCCTGCTATATTTGTATGATTTTCAACCTTTATTATTTGACCTGACTTGTTATTATTCTGCTTTTCATAAATTTGAGAGTCTTAAGAGGGTGGGTGCTGTTGAAGACATCCAGCCTTGTAATATGCTGTGCCTCAGAGGCTGTCACTGTGGTTACAAGGACTTTTATTGCACAGTTTTTACTTCAACTTGTGTTTATATAAATATTTATTTATTTTCTTCTTATATAGTGCATAAAACCTCATTTGCATCTGAGATTAATTAAGTATTTGAATTGATTCATTATCAATGAAATAGCGAACCGCTGCACATAGAGAACCGCAGTGACACGTCCTAAAACCCGGAAGTAAACTCCTTCCGGTTCCTTCGACAGAAATGCAATGCAAATTCTCCATAGGATTTTGGAAAATAGCTCGAAATAAGGTCTGTGGTTGACTGTTCTCTTATCATTTTCGAATCATAAATCTATCGATTACATTTTTGATTCGAAAATTATAAAAGTAGGGTAGACATGTGGATATTATCCAGCTGAACAAAACGTTATCCGTCTCTTAAATGTGTGTCAACCACAGACCTTATTTCGAGCTATTTTCCAAAATCCTATGGAGAAATTGCATTGCATTTTTGTCGAAGGAACCGGAAGAAGTTTACTTCCGGGTTTTAGGATGCGTCACTGCGGTTCTCTATGTGCAGCCCTAGAACCAATTAGTGATGTTACGTTCACGAACGATCCAATTCTTTTGAACGGCCCTTTGGTAAGAACGAAGGGAACCGAGTCTTACTTGGTAAGAGCCGTTGTTTTTATCGTTGGTTCAATGCCTATACCCCAGGCTCACCATGGTGAAAAGGCTTTGCATTGTGGCAACGTCCGTTCACTCGGAGAAAATATTCTCCAAGACTGGACAAATCTTCTCAGAGAGGAGAAATCGCATTAAGTCCTAAAAAGTGAGGAAACTTGCTTTTCTGAATGCAAATTTGCCAGTTAGTAACCCCGTTGTTAAAAAAAACAGCTCTTTTGAACAGCTCTTTTGAACGGCTCTCGGAAAGGAACGGAGCCATAAGATCCGGCTCCCTTCAAAGAGCCGTAAATTCCCATCACTAGAACCAATGTTTAGAAAGAAATACCAATGTTGTTGAGGCATTTAATCCTGGACATTAACAATTTGCTCACAGCAGCAACCGCTCCTCTTTTTATGCTCAGTTTAAGTGTAATTTTGTCGTGGTTAAGATTATTTTCAAGAGCCTAGCATGACTGACACAGAATTTGGCCTTTGAATAGACTGATCACAGATGTTTAAGAACTCATACTGTGCAAACAATCTTTCTCAAGTACAAAACAACCTGCACACACACACAGTTTCTCACCAGGTCGACCCATGCCAATTTTCTCCAGGTCTTCATTCTTGACGTAGTCGAAGTGTGACAGCCGCGTAACGTTAAGGTCATCTCGGATCCGTAGGAGGTACTGCTGCAGCTGCACCTCCATCAGCAGCTCCAGCAGCCATTCTGTGCCTTCTTCACACTGCATGCTACTGCCCAGTTTCTGTAAAAGACCCACAAAGAGCACAGGAAACTGAGTTCAATGTTCTTTCAACACATTCTTAAATGCTTGGTCCCACAGCTATTGAATACAGTTGAATAGAAAGTCACTGAGAAACAATACAACTATTCTTTTCTGTAAAAAAAGGAGAGGAAACTGAGCGCTCCAGTAATTGTTACAGCCCACTGAAATACCTGCTTGGACTTAAAATCCACAAGCCAAGTTATTAGATGCTATTTAGGGATGCAGCGAATAGTAAAGAACTTCAATCATAACGCTTGAATTTCAAATTCTAAAAACAACATTTGAATGCTCTGCAGCTTATTTTTTTATTGTTTCTATCCATCAACCCTATTTATCCTATACACTCAAAAATACACACACATTTTGACACACAAGCACACACTGCAGACTGGGTTGGCCTAATTGGCCTCACATAAACAAGGTCATGTTGGGCTAAATATAGCATTAACTGCTCGTCAGTGGTTCAAAAACTGACAACACTTATTTACTTAGTAATAAATAGTTGATTACATAGATCTTGTGTCATTTTGGTGTTAACACCCTTTTAGTCAAAACTATGGTGGCCGACAGGTACAAACGCGTTAAAATGGCCCGATACACTTTCATTAGGAGAAATGCGCAGCGATTTCCAAAAAATTATACAAATAAAAAAAACACAAATGGGCCAAAACACGTGCAAATGAAGAAAAATCTTCAACTTGATAACGCATTCGCAGCATTTAGAAAACATTAGACCATTTGACGAAACATGCCCAGCGTTTACTAAAAGCACTGTATAAACGAAACCTGCAAATACAAAAAAGGCTACCAGAAACTCAAAACACAACTGAAACGGGGACACTACGGAGTGCTTGTTGAGGTTTGGGGATTATAAAGTTGGCCAACTGTCGCCGTCCCCAAAATACTTAACTCGAATGGATGTTTTATTGGCTTATTTTAACGAAGTGATCGAAAGATGATTACTTCCGATATAATACAGATTGCTGTAAGCTAGCTAACTAACATAGCTAACTTAGTCATTTCAAGTATACTGACAAAACCCTTACTTTTATGAAACAGACTAACTCAGTGACAGTGACAGTTGGCCAACATACAGCACGTTACTCCTAATGAAAGTGTTTTTGCACCTGTCGACCACCGTACAAACGGCAGTGGAAAGGGTAATTAAAAATATATATATAACTGCTCTTGAAAACAAAAAGAGATTGATACATGAGATGAATAACACACATCTGGTATCCATAAGTGTCAGTAAAGAGAAACGGGAGGCTCCCAAACAATCTGACCACAATATATACACTGTACTACACTCCTCCATAAGACACAGTCAGACCATCAATCTTCAACGTCAAAACAAAACACCCCCCTTAAAAAATCATCAGTCACAGTCTTCTTAATATAACAACCTAAGACAATTTAAATGCAATTCCGTTTAAATCCTGATGGGCTTTTTCAAAAGGACATCGCAGTTGAATAGAGAGTAAATCCAGTAAAGAACTTTAAAGATAAACCACTTCAAAAGCTCATCTTCTGAATTACACCTGCTCACACTGCTCCACAGTACTGTTCCCATACTCATTGGGGGAAGTGTCACAAAAAAATGACAAACATTCCTAATCTGCAGAGACTGACAGGGAGGGGTGCAGGCTCCGGGGCGTAGGGGTCACTCCACTGAGTAGCAATTACACCAAGTGAATGAGGAACTTCCTGTGCTGGGATAGGCAGGTTACAAGGTCCAGAGGGAATTGTCAGAGGTCGTGGCTTCCTTTCCGTCATTCAAGCGTCTTAATGGGCTCGGTTAGAGGTCACTTTCTATTGCTAAATGACCTGTAGAGTTAAAGAACGCCTTTCTTTCTCACACAAACACACACCTAATATTGGTTGTAAAAAAAAAAGGCATCTACTGTGTCTACTGTGCCTTTTTCAGAGTGGATTTTCCCATGAATTTGGGATGCAATGAGGCCGTTTGAGAACTCAATCCCCGATGGTTGTGCCAGATGTCCGTATCCTGATACAAATTCATTGCAATGCACATTAAACTGGGTCAGCTGATATCTCTTTAGCCATGTCTAAACATGCGGCTTTGGCTCACTAATGGAAAATAGTCCACTTGAAGAGAAATCCTCCGTTTCGAGCTTAGCAGGTAAGCCCATTATCAACCGAACACAATATAATATAATAACCTGTGAGATCCACTTCATAGAGAAGCAGGATGCACAGAATGCCTGTGGCTTTAGGATTAACTACAGTTGCAGTCACTTGAATCCGTCGCCATATTTTGCATTTTGCTGCATCATGCCTGACCCCTACTCTGAGAAAGACGATACAACCGTCTGTTTGGCTGTTCCACTTCGCCCTCAACTATGCCAAATGCTCTCCTACCACAATAATTTCAACCACAATTAGGAGTTTAGATCAAATCAAAATATTGTTTTTGCGTCCAATATGGGGCGTAACTTTATTTGTCCTCCACATTGCAGTCCAGAGTCTGGTCTTCCCTGGCAGTCAACATGCAAGTGTTATTTCACTTGACGGTGCCAAAAACGCAAGTCAGCTTCCTCTTGGGCCTCTTTCCATGACAGTGTCATATCTGAGGCATGAGAGGTCAAAATCAAGGTGCTTGAGCTCCTCATATCAGATTACTCTGTCAACTTGCTAACCAATTTACAAAACTCATTAAAACAAGATTTTTGGAGACAGGTGCTGCTCAGACGTTGTGTACAGTTGTCAAATGTCCACTTGTAAAGGTGGGTCAGATAGGTTGTGTCTTATGACAAAGATCATGTATTGTTGCCAACCAATATAGCAAATAACATTTTGGAAAATTGTATGTTTTTTGTTATCTTGTCATATATTAGACATCTTGAGCTGGCTATCTTGTTTTTTCTATAATGGAATGCAGAAGAAAAATCACGTTATGGAGGTGTGAGGTCAGCAGGAGAAACACTACGTCCAAACTCCTTTAAGTGTGACTTGTGGCAGGAGTTTGAGGAATCCATCAAGGGCCAGTATTAGGGCTCTTAATAATGTCATGTCAAACCTTTCTAAAAATGTTTAAAGGAAAATGAACTGTGACAAGTATAACCCAATTAGTACCCAGTACAAAATCAGAGTAATACACACGACAGAAACAACAAGTTTGATACAGAAAAAGGGGAGATGGATGTAGGAGTTCAGATGCGGAATAACAACAACATGATGTCCCTGCTGAGAAATGCCTCTGGCCTGAACTCATTCCCCATGGTAGTGGAGACACACACACACACACACACACACACACAACACACACAACAACACAACACAACACACACACACACACACACACACACACACACACACACACCACACACACACACACACAAACACACACACACACACACACACACACACACACACACACACACACACACACACAACACACACACAACCACACACACACACACACACACACACACCACACACACACACACACACACACACACACACACACACACACACACACACAACACACACTCCTGGCCAAAGCCATGTCCTGTATCAGATCAATTCTGCTCTAACATCCTGCTGCAATAACAACAACGGTCCCAGAGGATGGCCCTTAGTCCAGCTGAGAGCTCACACACACACATGATATTCATAATACAAACGCTATGTCCAAACATCTGGGAGGACCACGTGATTCTGACTAAAGTTACTAAAAGTCCATGTCATATTTCATAATGTTAAAAATCCTCAATGGACCAGGGATAGCAGTCATCGGACGAGACACCAGACTTACTCGATATACGTGAAAGTGTGCCAGGAAGGGGAATGACTTTTTCAGCTTGTCAAAGCGCCGCATCCTGAATTCCTTCGTCTGGATGAATGAAAATAGAAAGAAATGTGTGCTTCTAAAATGCCAGAGGTGGCTGCTTGTCTCTTATACCATTACCAGAGATACAGTCCTTCCAATTTGACGTTTCCAGTCTATGAGGGGATTCCAAGAAGCGTGCACGCTCCTCAAATCCAAAGCCCAGAACCCAAGAAGAAAAACTTCCTAAGATCCTGGAAGCAAATCTCCAACATTCCATGGCGGGGCAAAAGTCCTGTAAGCCCCTTGTTTGGTCAGCTCCCTCGAGAAGGCAAACAGGCATCCATGCAGCACCTCAGCATGCAAGAGATTACAATGATCTTTTAATATTTGGGAAAATATGTGTAAAGAGCTGCTGTTTGTAGCAGATCAATGCTCTCAGCTTTGCCCTGTGCCAGTCACAGCCATGTGTTCCCTTCAGACAGCAGCGAGCCAGTGATCCAAACTTCAGAAATAAGTCACTCCTCCTTCCTCCCTTCCTTTCACTCCCTCACAGACACAGACTCCCCCTCTCTGTCTGTCTGTCTTTGCGCGTGCAGCTACTGTCTGTTTGCTTTTCCATCCCTCCATCGAGCATGGGGCTAAAAATAGGAGCGACTTCTCCCCGATTGAATCGCTTGCCAGTCGGACGTGAGAGCCAGGCCGAGTGACTGTCTCTGGTTTCACATTTTAGGGCGCTGCTCGGTTACAGAGAACAGCAAAGTGTGATTATGCAACTTTCTCCCAAAATGTACCCCCTTTTCCCCCCTCCCCCCCTCTATCTTTCTGACCCCCCCCCCCCCCCCCCCCCCTGCAGTCAGGCCGGCAGTCCGTGCAACGCAGAGCAGTGCGTGGTGCGGAGGACAGAGGCTTCATGGTATTCAGCCCCAAGGAGCATTTGATCCAGGGCCAAAGGGTCACATTCAACTGCAGGATGGAGAGCTTGTTTCCTGTGATGCAACCCCCAAGTACACACACGAATACCCAGGCCCACAACCTCTTTTTCCCATTTTCCACCACTTGATCTCTTCTCATATCCCTTCTTGCTCATTGCAGAATTTACCGCCACAATACATTTTCACTTTTGGGGTTTTCTAGTTAGACTTTAACTGGAACCACTGGTTTTGAGGACACTTGTGACACTCTTTTG